TTCCTGCAGGCACATAAATCTAAGCAAATGATTTCTGAAGCAGGTGGGAAGAACAGTCACACACCTGAGGCATTAGTATTTGGAAAGTGATAGTATCTGTATCTATAGCATTCAATGCATACAGCAGAGACATGCACGCACATTCAGGATATATTCTTACACCTTTTCCTCCCACTTCTCGAAAATATTAGACAGAAACATTTAGCCATCTAGTTTTAGCTTTTAAACTTTAGACTACTGCAGCACAATCAACTGTTACCATCATAATGTAACAAGCATGAGAAAAAACAGAGAAGTGGGAAAAGAGGTTGACATGAATGAGTCTGCTGCTGCTCAGTCTGCTTGTCTAGATGAAGGGACAGCTGCTGACTTCCTCCAGGCCCTTCATTCCACTAGGCTCAGCTAACAGCTAGCAATGAGAATCTGTATTTTGGTAAGTTATTAGGAAGTGACATAATTCTGAATTACTGTTCATATTATTAGGCACCTTGAAAAGCATGTAGCTAATACATCTGCACATTTCTGGTAATTGATCAGATATAAGAATCTGCACAGCAAGATCTTTTAGCTAAGCACTGCTGTAACACAGGTCCCTGAATTACACTTTTTAAAATGTGTTCAAGGTGGTACTAGAATCCTGTCATACAAACAAACATATTCAAATTTCACCCATCACTCATTATGGTTGTTTTAAAGCAGGATTACCAATACATTCTCCTTTTACACTGTACAGTCTTGTTCAAGAAAAGGAAAAGCCAAAGCATGTGGCCTAGTGTTGAGCTGGTTTTAGAAACTGAAATGGAAATTAATTTTGTGCACTCTGTTAAGTAATTGCTGTTAATTCTTAACAAAATTTTCCTGTCTCCACATAATTTTTAGGTGTTCCTTCAACAGTATCAGCAATTTCTAGGAGACTAACCTGCAATCTTCCTAGTCAAGTTACAAAAAACTACCACAAATCTCTCAAGCAAATACTCTTATGAGTCAGGCAGATTGAACAAATTTAGATAAAGGTTTAAGTCAAGCCCAGAACTTTTGGATGGGTCGGTTTACCTTTTCAATACTCCATCTGAATTTACATTTTGATATTTTTTGACACTGTCTGAAGAGTTTCCATGATCAATAATAATGTTGCTTAATGCCATATAAGCTCATAAAGTACACTCAGCACAAAACACATCTGGAATCCTGATAAAGTGGTATGCTTCTTTGAAACACATTTTGATGCTGCCTTATCATTGTCATTTACCCTTCACTATGATTCAAATTCATCTATCTACCAGTGCATGAAGCTGCTCAAGATTTTGTTGCCAGCATGAACTCATTACAAGTTCAGGAAATCCAACAGAATCCCTTTCTCTTTGTACATGCCCTTTGCAGGCAGATCCCAGTTCACGGATAATGTTACACAATTGCTGGCTCAGTTACTATATAACTTGCAAAAGAAAGAGAAGACAAATACTTTAAGATAAGATTCACTGCAGTGAGGTGCTGAATATTTTAATGGATGAAATGTAGGTCAATGTCACACATTCTACAAAGTCATGCATCTGTCCTGAAAATCTTAGGCAAGATCATGTCCTTATTCATTTCTTTTAAAATATGTGCACCTATACACATGAAATTTGATAATAAATCTGCTGACCTCAAGACACCCTTAGAAATATATATTATTGTGCATATTATGTCATCTAGAAAACAAAAGATATAGTTTGTTACTTGTTACTTCATCTCCCATATTCCCGTTCCAATTGGGGACAATTATCCCAAACAAAATGCTGATTATGCTGCTCCATTAACAAAACCAGGTACACAGAGCTAAATTGAGGAAATATCTGCAAGGCACTTCATTCTGTGTGCAAACCTATACTGTTTGTTTGAAAGGACAAAACTTTTTTAAAGGACTGATGCATTTTAGGGAGGGAATAACGACTTATTTATATGTGAAGTCTGTATGTTTCCTATACTGTTTGTTTGAAAGGACAAAACATATTTTAAAGGACTGACACATTTTAGGGAGGGAATAACGACTTACTTATATGTGAAGTCTGTATGTTTTCTTGCACTGGCCTAATTACTAAATTGCTGAAAATTTTTGAGTAGGTCTGTAACTGATTGCATATCTGTACCATTTTCCCATAAAAATCTTCACCCAATAGACAATTTAAATGCTACTTGAATATGAACCACTTTCATGGATCTTCCATTCTCCTGAATCTAATCAGTCTCTCAGGAGGTTATAGTCTAAAGTAATGTTCCTTAATGCATTAGGAAAACAATGCCCTCAAATCTCCATTTCTAATCTTTACCTTTCAGCTACCAAACCAATTTAAGATTGTGATCACAGTCCCTAAATTGACTGGGAAAGGTATTCTCTTTCCATGAACTGCCAAAAATGACAAGAAAGGAGGAAGTGTTAAATTGTATTAGTATTGGTCTAAATAGGCCACAATGTCTTTTCACATTTGGGAATCACTTCCTCCATGTCCTGGTCAGCAAAAGCATCACAAACCACTGTTCAGGGAAGCCTGTAAAGCTCATCTTTCTGAGAAAGTAAGATAAGTGAAAGCATGAGAGGACCAAGAAGGAGTTCTCAGCGTGAAAACAAATAGTTTTTTGTATAAACATAGTTCTGACTGTGGAAAAACCCATTTTCAGAGTGCGCAGTGGAATTTGAATCATTAGAATATCTAGAACACAGGATATAAAAATTTTAGTGCTAAATTTAAGAAATACATTGTTTTAATATGACGAGAGCATACAGAGCCAACTTCATCACATGTGAGACGTACTAGGAGTACAAAGATAATGTAAGATTTTTCAACAAGGGAGTCTAGGGTGGTTATTTCTTTGGAAAGTATCTTGAGATATTTTTATTGTCCCTCTAATATAACCGATTTTTTCTAAAATCCACATAAAATGTGTGCTGAGCTGAGGTCTCTGGCTGCCAGAATACAACGTAACTATTGTTCCTAGAACTAAGAAACATTCTGCAATTCTTCCAGTTTGTGCCAGCAACTGGTCCCTGAAAATGGGGTTGGAGGGGAGTGTGTTAGCAATCACCACTCTCTTCTCTTCATTTCTGCCACACAAGTCACTCTAAAATAGAGCCAAAAGAACAATTGATGTTTATTGCTTTAGCTCATGTTCCATACACTTTTGGAAAGTACAGTCAAAGCTGCAGTTTAATGTGGTGTTTAATATTGATGAAATGGGAAATATTCTGTATTCTCTGCTTTCAATAAACAAGTCCTTGAAGCATATAATCTAATTCCAAATATCAAGAGCAGTAACTCCAATAAATGTACTGTCAATTGCATTAAATAAATGCTTACAACTTGGAGTACTTATTGTTAGTTTATGTTGTTCCAGTCCTTTCAAAGATGACATTTTCTGGAAGCTGGACATGCATGTCTTTTTATCTATATTATGCTGCACATTGTATGGTTAGTTACTGGACACTCAGAAGTGACAAGCATAGATTCATTGTCACTAGGAAACTGACAACTTCCATTAGTGTGAGTGAGATAAAATTATGAAGTTATTCTCCGTTAAAAAAAATTACAAAGGCAGAGTATTCCACAGCATTTGTGATTTCCCCTCTCCAGATACAGTACAGAAAATGCATTCATTTTCTTGCAGGCTGTATGAATTGTGGGGTTTCTCAGCTTCTGTGTTCACTGCTACAAGATTGTGATTGCTTAATGATCAGCTTTAATGATCATTTAATGTACATGGCTAGTGCTCTCATACACTGCAGAACTAAAGAAAGGTGTCTACGGTTTCCAGTCATTAGCTATTAACGTTAAGGTTAGAGAATACCAAAATCCTTTAAGTTCCGGGTGAGACTGAGCCTTCTGTTTTCAGTTTAGCAAAACAGTAGGTATTAAAACACATGATGTTACATTCAGTCCTTTTTCCTCTTTCCAAAAATCTGAGTATCTGAAAATATTAATCCACACTACTCCTGCAATACAGTTACACAGGTATTATTATGCCTAATGCACAGTATACTACAGAAAATCCTGTACAACATCCTTTGTGAATTGATTCAAAAGTTACACAAGGAATAAATCAGATAAGCCAGACACGGCTTAAGTAATGGTTATGAAGTCAAACACTGAATTGGTGACAGAATTATAGGTGTCAGAGATTCCAGGAGTACCAACTCATGAAAAAAGAAATTCAACCTTTGCCACAGAGATCTAATCAAAGTCTCTAAAACCTTATCATTCTGTGTCCAACTTTTCTTTATTCTTTTTTCAAAAATTTTATTCTGCAGTTTTCAGCCTGGAGAAGACTACAATGGCCTTAACTGACCACATCAAAAATACTTCTATGTTTATGCATCCTTTCTTCCCCCTTGTTTTACACCAAGATCACCAGCATTACAATGATGAGGGTAAACCAGATTCATTTCAGGCTAGAAAAGCATAAGAAAGCATCAGGGAATTCCTAACAGACTGAACAGATTTCTTAAAAGGTCAAATCCTGGTAAGTCAATATTTTAATAATTTATTCTTCTTCCTCCCTATCCCATGCAACAGGATCTAACATTCTGGACATGGTTTAATCTCTTCAATAAAACACCTTATGGAATTCCATCAGTAACTTCTGACATGGAAGCTACAGGTTATTCTATAAGGAGTAGATCCTTGTCAGAACAGGCATCATTTTGATACAAATGTTTCTGCCAAAGGGAATTAACCACACACTTCTCACTGCTTCTTGTACTATTTGTTAAGAACTTGCACATCTCCCTTGTATTCTACTTTATAAATGAAACTTTAGGCAAACCATCTCATTCAACCTGTGATGCAGTGAATACAGTATAGTGTCCAAGTACAATGAAAATCCTCAAAACAAATACCAATAGCAAGCTTTTCCAAGCAAGAAAAACTTCTCCTTGAAGGATCTCCTAATTCCACTTTCATCTGAAATTCTTCAAGGCACCCTTAAACAAAGAAACCCTGAACAACAACCCAATAAAAACAAAAATCAAGAAACCCAAAGATTCATATTCTCCTCACTCTCTTCCTGTAATTCATTACAACCATAGCATGCAGAGCAAATATGCCTTACCAAGTTCTGTTACATAGTTTTTTCCTTCCGAAGGTAAAGGAATGTATTGATTAGAAAAGAAGTTGCTTCCATAACCCAGGACAAAACCTTCTAATTTGGTGTTTTGACTTGGTCGAAGATACCTCATGCAAACGGTGTCATCTGTAGCATTGATCTGAACTTTCAGACTTTGCCTTTTCACTGGGGAAAGAACAAAAAAAAAAAGGTCAGAAAGTATTATATTGAAATCAGATATTCAGTAATGGAATATGGCAATATAAATATATAGGACTGTTAAATATGTTATTAGCAAGCAACTGAACAATTTCTTAAAGGTGAAGTTTTCCGGAAACCCAGTGTATTTAAGAAAGTAAAATAACAGTCATGTAGAATAGTGGCTGCCAACATGACTGTTTTTCCATTAGTTTAGCATTATCATTAGCTGTAACATCTACAACTGCATTAGTAAAAAAAGCGCATGAAGTTACTGGAAAAAAATGCAAGTATTTTTTCCTTTAAATGCAAGAGTTATAGTAGCATTAGCCATCTATAGGGCCCATAAGTGAAAAACTTCAAAGTTTTTTTGGTTTTGCTGTTGGTTTTGCTTGTTAGTAGATAGTGTGAAGTTTTAACATTAAGTTAATCACACTTCAAAATTAAGGTAGAGGATAAATAGCAATTAGATCCAAAGAAAAATACTACAACTATTTTCTTTTTTTTTTCTTTTTTTTTTTGCTATGCTGGGCTGGAAATGTAATTTTCTGTTTGGAATTACACCAAGACACCTAAGTAACATATATACTTTACTCAAAATTACCAAGAAACCTTTTTTAAACATTCATTTTTATGCTTTCCAGGGGAGCAGCACATAAAGTAAGAAACATCTTGTATATCCATCTACAAAAATTTAACTTGTAGCAACACAGAATGGCTTCACAAGAGAATAAATTTTTAGAGTACAAGTTGGTGTTTTGTCCTCTTGGTGGGGTGAGGCAGGATGGGTACTTACAATTTTAATATTCCCTTTTCACTGTTAAGGTTATTATACTTGCAGAACCATTGAATGCCAGTGCTTAAAAAAAGTAATGTATTTTCACAAACTTACAGCACTAGCACTAGACCAGTACATTTTAGGTTATTATTTTTCTTTTCATTCTCAAAAGACAAATTTTTATTTCCAACGGTTTTTCAGACACTTGTCCAATTATGAGGGATGAAGTTATCTTTCCAGGAAAAAACAGAACTTTGCACAAAATTGTTTTACTTCAGGAGATAAATCCTGTAGAAAAACAATGAGATATATGACCTGCCACTGAATAACAGAGTAGAGCGATACTAAACTAACTTCCTTCCTTCCTTCCTTCCTTCCTTCCTTCCTTCCTTCCTTCCTTCCTTCCTTCCTTCCTTCCTTCCTTCCTTCCTTCCTTCCTTCCTTCCTTCCTTCCTTCCTTCCTTCCTTCCTTCCTCCCACACTTACTTCCTTTCTCCCACACTTCCTTCCTTCCACACTTCCTTCCTTCCACACTTCCTTCCTTCCTCATTACCTTCCTTCCTTCCTTCCTCTCCTCCTCTCTTCCTCCCTTCCTTCCTTCCTTCCTTCCTTCCTTCCTTCCTTCCTTTCTTCCTTCTTTCCTTCCCCCTCACATTAACTCCCTTACTTTCTTCCTCTCTCTTTCTCACTCATTAATTGCAGACTGACATTCAAAGTTTTACCAGACAAGTACATATTCCCCAAACTATCCTTCTTTGTTTTTTTTTTAAGAGAAATTCTAATGACTAGAGTTACCAAGAAGCCAAAATCCCCAATTTGTGAAGATGATTTAGTAGATGAGCAGTTGTCTGCACACAGAATGTAGAGCCCTAAGCCAAACACTTTATGCCTCTTCCCTTTATAGAAAGAAGTGTACAAGTAAAACTGATGGAAAACATGTGCCTCCCTTCCTTTATCTAAAGACTGATCAAGTAAAAGCATTCAGCCAGGAAACCATCCCAATTTTCCAAAGGCAAGTCTGCCAGGTTCCAGAAGACTTCAAGGCTTCTAGAAAACTCAGTTCTCTGTCATTTTCAGCAGTACAATACCATCACAGGCAATTGTTTCCTTACCTAAGTGACATCTTAAGTTCTTTTGTTTTCAGTATGAAAGACTGCTGTGGGTGTGAAACAATATCAACAGGGCTCCAAAGAGCAGAAACCAGGAAGCAAACCCAACTGATTTCAAACCCCTCTAATGAACTTCATAAAGACACTTAGATAAAAGTGTTCCATGGCAACAAAATTTAGGATTATTATCTCGGAATGAGAGTGAGCTACATTTGTTAAAATTGTGTGGTCTGCAAAACTCTAACCTAATTTGGGAGAATTAACATAAATGAAAGAATGGTATCCTGATCTCCAGTGAATATTCATGTCTAAGAAGAAACAAGACTTACAGTACTTGATTCAAATACGGTAATTTGATTTCTGTATTAAAGTTCTTAATCAGTATCAAAACTGGATTTTAAAAAAAATATAGTGAAGATGTATTTTGATTTCAAATTTACAACAATTTCAACTTTTTTTAACCACACAATTGTATTTATGTCTCTCTCATTTATACCTTACATTACTTTGAAGAGTTAATTCAAGATTTAATTCAACTAGGTTTGATTCCAGTTAGATAGACACAATGGTTTATTCATAAGTAATCAATTATAGTGATAAGAGGTCTTGGTTTTATTTAAGCCTTAAAACTCTCAGTGAGGTTTCTAAAACTAGAAAGTCTACATGGAATTCCAAGACAGTAGGACCCTTTAGACCTTTAATTTATATCTAGCATCTAAAAAACACCAAGAGCTTTTAAACTCAAAGCCAGTTCTAGCAGAAAATCAACATGAATAAAGTATTTTTAAAACCAGAAAATAAGGCAGAATAGAAGAAAAGGAGATTAACTTAAAATTTTAAAAGATAAATCCTTGTCCCCATCACTCTGTCCTTTTCCTCTAGTTCACTTTTAAGTACAGAATCCTTTCAGTGATGGCCTGGATGGCAACAAATACTGCATATTCCGCATAGTGTTTAGAAAAAAACATATAATAATAAACTCATTTAGGTTGGAAAAAGCCTTTAAGATCATTGGGTCCAACCATAAACCTAGCACTGTCACGTCCACTGCTAAACTTTGTCCCCAGGTACCATATCTACACATCTTTTAACTATCTCCAAGGATGGTGACTCAACCACTTTCCTGAGCAGTTTGTTACAATGCTTGATGACCCTTTTGGTGAAGACATTTTTCCTAATATCCAATCTAATCTTCCCCTGGTGTAACTTGTGGCCATTTCTCCTTGACCTATCACTTGTTACTTGGGAGAAGAGACTGATTTCACTTCACCACTACTACCAGAACTACCTTGCAGGTAGTTGTAAAGAGCAACAAGGTCCCCCCTGAGCCTCCTTTGCTCCAGGCTATACACCTCCATCTCCCTCATCTGCTTCTTGTAGGACTTGTGCTCCAGACCCTTCATGAGCCTCATTGCCCTTCTCTGGACATGCTCCAGCACCCCAATGTCTTTCTTGTTGTGAGGGACCCAAAACTTAATATAGGATTTGAAGTGCAGCCTCACCAGTGCCGAGTACAGGTGAATGATCTGTTTCAGGTGAATCCTGGTCCTGTTGACCACACTAATTCTGATCCAAGTCAGGAGGTCAATTGGCCTTCTTGGCCACCTGGGCACAGTGCCAGCTCATGTTCAGCCACTGTCAATCAGCACCCCTAGGTCCTTTTCTGCCAGGCAGATTTGATTTGTTGTGCCTCCAGGACTCAGCACTTGGCCTTGTTGAAGGCAGACAACACCTGAAGCCTTTCCCTCATGCAGGAAGTGAGTCACCTTGTCATAAGAGATCAGGTTAGTCAAACAGGCTCTGCCTTTCATAAACCCATGCAGACTAGGCCTAAACCCCTGGTTCTTCTGTATGTGAAGCGTGACTGCACTCAAGATGATTTGCTCCATGACCTTCCCTGGCACAGGAGGTCAGCCCTGTAGTTCCCCAGATCCTCCTTCCAGCTCTGCTCTTAGATGGGTGTCATAACTGCAAACTTCCAGACAACTGAGGCCTTCCCAGTTAGCCAGGACTGCTGGGAAATGATGGCTCACTGAGTACCCCAGACAGCTCCCTCAATATCCTTAGGTAGATTCCATCTAGCCCCATAGTCTTGTGTGTATCTAAGTGGTGTAACATGGCACTGACCATTTCCCATTGGAGCTTCATTCTGTTCCCCATTCCTGACTTCCAGCTGAGTGGAGTGGGTACCCCAAGAGCAACTGGTCTTACTATGAGAAAGCAAGGCAGAGATGTTAAGTACCTCCGCCTTTTTCTTAGCCTTTCTCACTATGTTTCCCCCTGCATGCAGTAAAGGAAGGAGGTAATATTTCTTTCTCTCCTTGAAGATCTAGGATCTACTCCATGCTCTCCTTAACTAGTTTCTATCCCTTCTGTAAGCTCCTTGCTTCTATTCCCTTCCTCCCCACAGCAGAAGTCTCCCTAGATGGAAGGGCCCAGTCAACCTCAGCAATACTGCTCTTCTCCCCTTCCTCTTGAAGATAGAGCCTGACCCAAGGAGCAGCAAAGAGCAAGGCAGACAAATCTCCTTCGCTTTTACTTAGCTGTATGTTTTTAAATGAAAATAACTGTGCTAAAGCAACAATACAGATGCCACACTTCATATGACTAAACCACATTCCTGTTCATGGGCTGTGTGCATTCCAGAATCATCCAGAGGGATGAATTTTAACTGGTAAAACAATAACTGACCAGTTTCTGGAAGTGTATGAACAGAAGTGGAGGAACCAAGGACAGGGAGAGCTCTATCCTATGTGCTGCACAGACACTGCCAGTCTAGCCAAGATAGGGCCAGTCTGAAGCAGTACAGATATAAAAGACTCCATATCTATTACCTTTGTAAATTGGGACTGGTCTCGGGAGCACATTAGCAAAATAGTTTTCACTTGTGTTGATCTCACAGTATTTTGAACAACTAACAGGGAAAGTCTTCTCATTCTGAGTAATATGTGTCTTAACCACCACCCAGATTAATATTCATTAAACATGATTGAATGGACAAGGGAAGCCACAGGAACTTGACTGCCATGATATTGAGATAAGATTGCATTTAATTTTGAGAAAATAACTTTGTCATATTATGATTTGGGAATACCTTTTTACCCTGCATCTCCTGATGAAAGAGTTGGATGATAAACTAGGTACCCTCTAATTCCATTTATTTGTATCAGCTTTTGGTCTTAAGTACTTGCAATTGTAACATAATTCTTTTACACTGAGGCCATCTCCAAATTAAAGGTTCTGGGACCTATAGCTACCCCTGAAACACAATCTTTCCTTTCAGGCTTGCCAGCACAAATTCCACACTGATGTGCAAGTATTCTCTTTAACAAAAGTCAGATTATGGCCAAAATCAGCAGCAGAAACTTTGCAAAGCACATCTGAAGCACTATGTTAAATGCATCAGGCCACTTGCAGTGTTAGAATCACTCCAAAGAAAGGACTCTTTGACTATAAGGGGAGAGTCTGTTAAAGACAGCTTGATAAATCAGCTGCATCATAAGAGAATCAGCCACCAGTGACTCTTCAGAAAGAAGAAAATAGCTACAAATAGTCTGAAGAATCTAGCTGGGAGCACCATAGTTTAGCTAGTTGGAATGTTAGGCAACAGGGTCCAAAAGCAAATAAATATTGAAACTTTAAAAAAACCCTAACTCTAAATAACATAAGTTAAATTCACTCCTTTAGAAGGTGAAAGCAGCTACAGGAAATTATATACAAAATATACAGCTGCCAACTGCTGTTCAAGCTTTGGATCCACCAGAGTTTATGTGAACTATCTTCTTTTACTTGTCAACACTTTAATTGATCATGGAGTAATAGAGGAAGAAAGGTGAGAATTCATAAGCACTGCTACCATTTCTTACTTGTACCAGCAAGTTCATGTTTAGCTACAAGACAAACAAAGATGACCAACTTTTCAATTTCTACTTTCCCAGAAAATTTCAGTCAAAGCCCTTTGGTTTAGGTCTAACATTCCCCTAAGAAATTACCATTGCAAAGGAGTCTGAAAAGGCCAAATAATAACTACTAAGAATAGATTTACATGAGTTCTTTGCTATTTAATAACTGGAGAAAAGTAAGGAGATACACAGAAATGGTTCATTGGGCTAGTTGCATTAAAGCAGTATGTGTTCAGTGATTCAGTGTTGGGGACGGGGTATGTAGAACATATAAAACCAAATGAAACCATTAGAGAGTTTGTTTCCCAAAAGAAAAAAAAACAACCCAGAATAATTTTAAGAAATTTAATTAAATTAATTAAAGCCTTTAAAATTTGCTGTCCTGTGGCCCACTACCTTTACAATATGATTGGTAACAATAGATGTGGAGTTAGTTAAAATTGCCAGCTGGTTTGATTTTCCTGTTACAAGGAACACAAGAGAACACGGGTGATGGCATGACTAGAACATGAACTAACTGACTTTTTTCTGTTTCTGCCCAAACTCCAAAATATATGTTGGCCTTGTCAAATGGAGTATCTTCAGCTGAAGAGCACTCTATTTCTTTCTCCAGCTTAAAATGATATGTCAACAGCTGGCAGATAAATTATTAACCAGCACTTAACACATTCAGAAAGTAACCCAGAGGTGCTGATGAAACAACAATCTTCAAGAATGAAACACAAATTAAATAAACTAAGCAGTTTTTGTTTTGAAGTAGATTTGTCTTGGCATCTTACATTTTGAACTGTCTGCTTATTTCACTGAAGGCTCAGCAAAAGCAATGCTGGGACAAGATCTTATTTTCACTCATACTATGAGTCTACTGCTGTGCTTTAAGTGTGTACAGTTTCTTCTGATCAAATACAGTCCTATATTTTGTTTTAATCCTTGAACTCTGCCTTACAAAACTAGAGGGGGAATACAGCTGTACTGTATTACAGCAAATTTGGCTTTGTTGCCAGAATTCCTTTTGCCTTAGATTGAAATGGTTTATTTTTCACCATTTCAAATACTTTAGGGGGCATGAAGACAAGACCCAGTGCTGCCTCCCAGAGTGCTAGACAAACGAAGCGTGCCTTAGGAAAATATATTAGCACCATCTATTTGTGAGCACCACCTCACTTATCAAAATCAATCACAGCAGTGCTTTGATTTTCCAGATCTGGTGCCATAGTACCACCAGGCAAGAATTCAATGATAATCTAATGTGCAACTTTTATTTTTTGCTATTTCATATTTTAATATTTATTTTGGCTCCCAAACATGCATAATTATCAGTTGCTTGGCTCAAAACCAAATATAGCTTAAAATGGGAAACATTTAAAAATAGTTCTGTTTCTATGTAGTAAAACAAACAAGACACGCTTCTAAGACGGCCATAACCACAGCATCTCTGAATAATTTAGGGTGAAAGGAACTTCTGTAAGTCATCTAGTTCAACTCCCTGCTCAAAACAGACCTCATCAGCTGCTCAGAACCTCCTACCGTGTCTTGAACACCTCTAAGGACATAGATTCTGCAACACCTCTGGGTAACCTGTTCCAATATTTAGCATACTTGTGTCTTAAAATAAAAATAAAAAAAGGTCCTAATATCTAACTGGAATTTCCCATGTACTAACTTTTGCCCAGTGCTTCTTGTCAAAGTACTGTGCACTTCTGCACAAAAACTGTCTTTGTATCATCTGGTCAGGTAGCTGTGAACAAAGTTAGAGCGTCTTTCTCCTTAACATGAGTTTTTCTGCCCCCAGGGTATAAATTAATTTCAAATCCATTCTGCTGGTTCAAGGAAGGAACTGAGGAGCAGGAGACATTTCATTTTGAAATTCTACTTTTTTTTCACTAACAATGACACTGATTAATATAGAAACAGCAGATTTTTCTTATTTTGAATATGGCACTTGATAGATTGGATTAATAAAGCTTGTTATTTTAAGCCTTATTATTCAGGCTTGTTATTTTACCAACAACCAAAACCAAGTAATTGATTCCACCTTCATAAGTTATGAAGTTAGCACATCTTTTTAACCCCCACTGTAACTGAGAGAGCAGATGTGATAGCAAGGTATGGCCAACCTATCCCATAACTAGCAGTAATTTGAAAGAGAAGAAAAGACATCACCAAAGATCCAGACAATGTAAATTGCATCTAACTTCTGACATCTAGTAAGTTAGTTGAATGCCTCTGAGAAGGATCTTGTCTTAAACAGGAAGCCACTTTATGTCAGCCAACAGGAAATACAGAGTTTCAATTAAATCTTGCTGGGAAATAGATTAGAACAAGCTGTAGCAAGCTAACTTCAAGGCCAAAAAAGAAAAAAAATATCTTACTTTCATATAACCCTTTGTATTTTCTCTTGATGTTGAAAGAAATGTTTTCATAGAGTAAAACTACAACACAAACACTTAGTCCATTGACTTGTTTTCAGAAAATGCATTTAATGAATTGGAGATGCCAGT